AAGTTTCAGAGCAATCAGAAGTCACCACCAAAAAGAGAAAAAGGAAAGAAAGAAAGAAAGGGAGAGAGAGAAAAAGAAAAAACTGAGCCAATCATGAGTTCCAAAAATAAGATTTATAAGACACGTAAACCAAAAATGAACAAGCAAAAAGACTGACAAAAGTAAAAGATAAGGGAAAAAAAGGAAAAACCCAGTCAAAATGAACCCCAAGGATAAGATTTATGTAGTACAAAAATAAAAACAAATACACAGAAACACTGGCAGAAGAATAAGAGGGGAAGGTGGTTATAAACCCTTGATGTGGGTAAGGAAGGTTATTTCAGTACTTCCTGGGTGTATCTTGTTATCTTTGTTAAGGGACTCAACTTTCTAGAGATACAGGGAAATTAAACCTGCCTTATATATAGGGGTAGTATTGAATAGGGAAAAGGATTACCTTGACGTTTACATCTATATATTAAAAAAGAAGAAAGAAAAAGAAACCCAGGTATATGTATGAAAACAGTTCAAGTTAAATAGTTATTATGTAATATGTTGTATTAAATATCTAGTTGTAATGGCAAGTAGGTTAAAAAAATAAAAGAAGAATTGTGAGAGCTAATTAAAAAAAAAAAGTTGTTTCTCTGAAATACACAGGTTTGGGGGCAATATATTGTTTTCCCCTGATGTTGGGGTCTTACAGGTTTTTTTTTTTTTTTTCAATTTGATTTTATTTTTTCAGTGTTCCAAGATTCATTGTTTATGCACCACACTCAAGTGCTCCATGCAATATGTGCCCTGGTGCTGGTGGTGGGTATTAAGGAGGGCACGTATTGCATGGGGATTTACAGTTTTATGTGGACCCTGCAGTTATTGTCCTCTTGTTCTTTGGGCTTGTCTTCTCAGGGAGGAGCCTGTGACATTGTTTTCCAGTTAATCTTGCTTGGGCTGAGTTGCTCTGCTCCCTAGCAAGGGGCTGGACTCTGTGGAACTGGTTTTTCAGGTTTTTGTTCTCTGGAGGCATTTGTTCTAGGGCAGCTTTTTGCAGCTTTCCAGAGGGCTAGTGCAAAAAGTAAGCTGTCTTGAGTGAAATAAGTCAAGCAGAGAGAGTCAATTATCATATGGTTTCACTTATTTGTGGAGCATAACAAATAGCATGGAGGACAAGGGGAGTTAGAGAGGAGAAGGGAGTTGAGGGAAATTGGAAGGGGGGGTGAACCATGAGAGACTATGGACTCTGAAAAACAATCTGAGGGTTCTGAAGGGGCGGGGGGTGGGAGGTTGGGGGAACCAGGTGGTGGGTATTGGAGAGGGCACGGATTGCATGGAGCACTGGGTGTGGTGCAAAAACAATGAATACTGTTACGCTGAAAATAAATTTTAAAAAGTTAAAAAAAAAAAAAAAAGTAAGCTGTCTGCATCCAGTCCTTGGCCTCAGAGAGAAGCCTCAGTCTGCTCCCCCCAGATGATCCAGAACACACAGACTAACCCTCCACAATCTCCACTAAACACTGCAACTTCCCACGGGTGGTGCACATTCCCAGCCACCACTTCAGTGGTTGCCCAAGGCCCCTGCTTGTCTATGCACTCCAGTACCACTAAAACTGCAAGAAATATTGGTCTGGGGGAGCCCGATCCTGGTGGCTGTTGGGACTGCTGCCTGGGGTCCATGTCCACGACCCAATTCCACTAGTTGCCCCTTAAGACCTTTTGCTCTTTTTGAGTGCTTTTAACCAGACTCTAAGTTAATGCTGGTCACCAAGCACAGGGAAATTTCATATTGGGTTATTACTTTCCAGTGAGTCACTTCTGGTGCCTCCTCCCCCTTCTGTTTATCCTCTGATATCAGTCCAAGCATTCCCACTCCATTTTACCTCTCCACAGATGATCTCCTGGCCCTGTAGAGATCCAGAAGTGTATAATCTTACATCTCAGGCTGATTTCATGGGTGTTCAAAGTGTTCTTGCAGATATTTAGCTCACTTCAGGGGACCATTTGAAACAGAGTCTCCTACTTCTCTGCCATCTTGCCCCTCTTTCCAGATGAAACTCTTGTTTTCAAAATGGCATTTGGCTATCTTCTGAATGGAGGTCTGCATAAGAGATGGGTCCTGGATGCTGCCACCAGCCCTCCAGAACCTTGCATGCAATGCTTTAGCCTCCAGACCAGCCCATTCTGAGGTGAAAAGATCCTTACCATGTTGCCTTAAATGTGAATTTATTTGGACACAAGCACTGGGAACATGGTCTGTGCATATGGAATGGGCTTGTTTTGACTGCAGATCCTGTCTGACAGTGGCCTTCTTCCTTCATGGTTTTCCCCTACCTGTTCTACCTGTTCTATGAGTGAACCCTAGATGTGTTCTTACAAGCCAAGCTAATATGTCTGCCTAAAAACCCCACACAACTGTAGGGTCAAATCCAGCTTGAGTGATGGTGTTGGGCAAATTCACAAATAAATCAGGTTTCTGGGAAAAAAAAAAAAAGATCTCAAATCCAATAACTAAATTTTACACCGTAAGGAATATTAAAGACTAGATCAGAGATAAACAAAATAACAAATAGGGAGGAAAAAAAACCCAGAAAATCAACTGAAGGGGCACCTGGGTGGCTCAGTTGCTTAAAAATCCAACTCTTGATTTCTGCTCAGGTCATGATCTCAGGGTTGTGAGACTGAGCCCAGCTGCAGACTCCATGCTGAACATGGAGCTAGTTTAAGATTCTCTCTCTCCCTCTGCCCCTCCCCTCTACCTATATATGCACTCTTTCTCTCTCTAAGAAAAAAAAAAAGAATAAAAAAGAAAGTACAAATCAAAATCACAATGAGATAGTTCACACCTACTAGGGTGGTTATAATTTTAAAAAACCAAAAATAATACATGTTGGTGAGTACATGGAGAAATTGGAAATCTTGTGCATTGCTGGTAGTAAAGTGAAATGATGCAGTTAACTGTTGAAAACAATGTGGTGGTTCCTTAAAATGTTAAATATATAATTATCATAAGAACTAGCAATTCTGTTTCTGGGTGGGTACTCAAAAAATTAGATGCAGGCACTCAAACAGATACTTGTCTGCCATGTTCATAACTGTGTTATTCATAAAAGCTAAAAGATACAAATAACCCACTGTTCATGAGCAGATAAATGGATAAACAAAATGTGATATATCCACGCAATGGAATATTACTCACTTTGAAAAGAATGCAATGTGGATATATGCTACGACATGAATGAATCTCAAAAATGTCACACTAAGTAAAAAAAAATTGGACCCATAGGGACAAATATTATATGATTCCACTTATTTGAGGTACCTAGAACAGGCTAATTCAGAGGGACAGAAAGTAGAATAGAGGTTACCAAACACTGGGAAGAGGAAGGAACACAGAATTATCGTTTATTAGGTAGAGAACTTCTGTTAGGGATGATGACAAAGTTCTGAAAATGGATCATGGTAATAGTTGCACAATATTGAAAATGTTCTTAATGCCACTGAATTATAGACTTAAAATATGACAATGGGGGTGTCTGGTAGCTCAGTCAGTGAAGCATGTGATCTTGATCTTGGGGTCATAAATTCAAGCCCCACATTGGGTGTAGAGCTTACTTTAAAAAGTGCCAACTATGGCAAATTTGATGTTATATAAACTTTACCACATTGTTTTACCAAAAAATATGGAGGGAAGAAAAAAGTTAAGGCTTTACTTTTAACTTTAATCAGTTGGTGGGGTCCTGGGTCCCCAGATAAACAAAATGTATTATACACGTGCAATGGTATATTATTCTTTTTTTTTAACACTATTTTTTACACTATTTTTTTACAAAATTTTTTACACTATTTTACACTATTTTAAAATTTCTTTCCAGTGTTCCAGAATTCATTGCTTATGCACCACACCCAGTGCTCCATGTAATATGTACCCTCCCTAATACCCACCACCAGGCTCACCCAACCTCCCACATCCCCCCATCCAAAACCCTCAGTTTGTTTCTCAGAGTCCACAGTCTCTCATGGTTCATCTCTCCCTCTAATTTCCCCCAACTCACTTCTCCTCTCTATCTCCCCATGTCCTCTGTGTTATTCCTTGTGCTTCAAAAAGAAGTGAAACCATATGATAATTGACTTTCTCTGCTTGACTTATTTCACTCAGCATAATCTCTTCCAATCCTGTCCATGTTGATACAAAAGTTGGGCATTCATCCTTTCTGATGGAGGCATAATACTCTATAATATATATGGACCACATCTTCTTTATCCACTCGTCCGTTGAAGGGCATCTTGGTTCTTTCCACAGTTTGATGACTGTGGCCATTGCTGCTATGAACAATGGGGTACAGATGGCCCTTCTTTTCAGCTTTGAAAAGGGTTGCATTAGAAGTACAAATCAAAGAATCATTATTACATGCTTTTAGGTTGATTCACTCATTGTCAGAACCTCTGGCTCAGTCCCACAACAGCCCTGCTTGTAGAGCAATTTCCCTTTCCTGCATGGGCCACCATGGTCCTAATGTGTCATATAAAACCCACTTAGATTACTTGTCTCAGAGAAATATGAGACTTCGGAACCCATGAAATGCACAATTAGCCTCACCTTCAAAAGATATAATTCCTCTATGAAGAATATTATCTGTCCCATGAAGGACCTTCACCCCTGTCCCTCTTGGCTCTTTTCTTGCCCCTTCACTCTGTCCTTCTTCCTTCTTTGTCCCCATGATCTCTCTTTAATCTTCATAAAACCTGGTCAATCTTAAAAACCCATCTTTCCACTTAGTGAACCCCCCACTCTTTACCTGCAATTCTTATCCTGTTTCTTATCTTTCACTGCTCATTCCCACAATCCACTTAATTCAACACTGACTGCTGGAGAACCAGGGTCTCAATGCTTCAAAGAAAATGTTTAAGGTCCAAATATCCAGAAGCTGGCTCTGATAGTGTGCCCCACCTCCTCAAGGCTGATTATTAACCCAGAGCTTATATAAGGAAAGGGCCATCCCTGGGATGGGAAAGTATCACCTGCAGCCATGGCCAGCACATTAAGCCCCAGCACTGTGACTGGGACCCTGGGTCCGCCTGAGATGTCAGAGCACATCCAAAATGCTGCTGACATCTCTGTCATTGTCATCTATTTCATGGTGGTGATGGCTGTCGGGCTGTGGTTATGTAGGAGTCCAATGGGGTATTCATGGTAGGCACCAAGCTTACGGTTAAAATGTCTGAGGGAGGGAGAGGTGTGGTGCGACAATATGATAAAGCTAAGGGAACATTAACAGCTGTTGGATTTCATTATCCTTCCTTCAGAATCATTGTCTTTTGCGTGACATAAATAATGTTTATTCAGTTAATATATTCTCATACCAAACCCATCATTTGAACAAAGCCAGCAGTGAGAAGTTTGGACTTACTCAGTTCAGCATCTCCAACTCCTGGTATAATGAATAAAGATGTTATTTTAATTATCTCACTTCTTTTCTTTTCTTTTTTTCTTTTGCTCACTTTCTAAATGAGTCAGTTGGGTGCTTAATTAATGTACGTTCATTCTTAATTTTTATTAATATGTGTAAGGCTGAAATTTATATCTAAGCACAGCTTTAGTGACACCCCTCATTGCTTTCATAAATGAAAAGAAACAGAGCAATTGGGACAGAGTTGGGGAAGATGATTTTTTAAAGTCCTTCTATTTCTATGAAACTATGATTTTTGTCTACTGTGTTTAAAAAATTTAAAAATTGATGCTATATCACAGTTTCTAGGAAAATGTTTATCTTCAAGAGTGCTGGAAGAGTGACCACTATGAACACTCTAGCCAGAGCATCTGTAGCACCGTGGGTGATCCTGTGGTGGTTTGACCCTCACATGTCTTCCCTTCTGCTTAGGCGATGCTGAAGACCAACCGGGGCACCGTTGGAGGTTTCTTCTTGGCTGGTGGAGATATAGCCTGGTGGCCGGTAAGTGGGTCAGAGTTTCCCAGAGACAAATTTCCTGTGTGCATGTTTTAGAGTGAATAAAGAAAACACTGGGAATGCTGAGTTTCTTATGTGCATTTGTTGCCTACTTGCTGCTGTCTTTTCCTAAACTCCTGACCCCAAGGTACTGCCCTATCATTCCAGTAAATGATAGTGTGTCATCCATTATGAGAGCAAGTGTAATGTCAAGACTGACCAAGTAGGACCTGGATAAGGAAGTGACAGCAGAGTAAGGAATGAATGATTTAGATATAGTAAGTAGAATCTTCAAGGCTTTGTGATTGAGTTCCTAATTGCTCTATTACTTTTTTGCCAGTAGAAGCTGTGCCCCCTTAATTAGACACTAAATCCTTTAAGAAAGAGACCATCTCCTCTCATGTCATGCATATCACCCTGTCAACTTGGCTGGGCACATGCATTAATAATTCTTGAGTTGCCTGAGCTTTTTCTGTTCTTGTGCCCTTTCTGGTTTGCATATACATGTGTGTGCATTTCAGTCATTAATGTGGCATTTGAGAATATTCAGTTCAGCTCTGTGTCATATTTTTTCCTCTGGTCCTCATCAAGAATCTTCTGCCTTGGCTCCTTAGCATCCCCAACACGTTCCTTCTTTGTTCCCAATCCTGAACCAGGGCTGCCCCTCTTGTTTGGATGAGCATCCCCCTTTCTGCTCTCCTCCTTCAATGTTCAACTCCAGCCCTGCCTCATTTGAGATGTCTCACCCTGCATTCTGGCCTGACTGTCTAGTCCTTATGATCCATGCAGTTATGATAGTGGTTGTGTGTTCCCTGTGATGTTGTAAATCATGATGCCTCTTTGACTCTTGCTCAGTTGATCTTTTCCTTGCTGGGTTTTTAATGTCTGACCTCCTTGACAAGAGTCCCATTGTGCCAGAAGGTCCATGTTCTTTCCTGAATCCATACAGCATCAGCAGAGTGTTGGGTAAGACAGTGGGTGCACAGTACATTCTTCCTTCATGGATCTGCTGATTAAGTTGTAGGAATGAAAGTGGAGAGTGGGAAGTGACTTGGCCAGAGTGGTTGAAGCAGACCAACTGCAAGCTTGAGATGGACTCTTACTGAAGTGTCCAATCAGAAATTGCCTTCTTAAGACTGTTTATGAAACATTCAAGTCTCAACCAATCCCATAGCCACCAGTGAGCTCAATCCCATCCCCTGGATCCAAATGTCTGAATAGAAAAAGTGGTTTTACAAAGGGTTGGAAAGATGGGAATGGGAGAATGAGCATTGCAGCAGTCCCACACTCCAATTCTGTTTTGTCAAGACTAGTGCTTGCCCCTGCCTACTCACAAGATTTCTCTTTATCTTTGATACTTAAACACAGTAGACATTGTGACAGAAGAAGAAGTAAGTGAGAAGAGAGTCCTTAGGGCTGGGAGAATGAAGAAAAACTTCCTCCTATCCACCTTTGCAGTCCTTAAGGATGAGTGAGGGGGCCAACAGGAGGTCTGGCAGTTCTTATCCAAGAACAGTCTCAACCCAGAGTATCTGGGTGGATAAATTAATGTTTCCCTGCAAAGTTCTCTGTAATGTTCTCTGTAAAGTGCCAGACTGTAAGTATTTTAGAGTTTTGAGCCATACAGTCCATTGCAGTCACACAATGCTGTTTCTGCTGTTGTAGGACAGAAACAGCCAGAGTGAATATGTAAAACCAACAAGCCCAGCTGTGTCCCCATAAAGTTATTGATGAACATTGAAACTTGAGTTTCATATAATTTCACAAAATATGAGTCTTCGTTAGTTTTTTTAAACCATTCAAAAATGTAAAAAAAAAAAGAAAAAAGGCATTTTTAGCTTATCAACCACACAAAAACTGGTGAATGGTTGGATTCAGCCCACAGAACTCCTGCCCTAAGGAGGCATGATGGAAACATCTCAACACTTGCCTGTTGTTAAGGAATCTGATTTGGATCTCTTAACTCATACTCATCTATTCTCTTGGATTCCAGATGGGGGCCTCTCTCTTCGCTAGTAACATTGGCAGTGGCCACTTTGTGGGGCTGGCTGGGACAGGAGCGGCTTCAGGAATTGCCACTGCAGCATTTGAATGGAATGTAAGTGACATCATAGGCTTTTTCCTTTAAATCCAAACTCTGTCCAGGTATGTTTTTCTGGGAGTCTGTATAGGATAAGCTCCTCTTTGATTTGATTTCTATTTTTCATTGTAACCTACCCATTGTTTGAAACTCAGGGCCTTCCCTGTGTGGCCTCATTCTGCCTGCCTGAGCCATTCCAGTCCCATTATTCCCCACCTCTGAGATTTTGCTCAAGCAGTATTCCCACCAGGAATGTCATTTCTATATGATTTAATCCCCACTTTCACTTGACTTTCTTGATCATTTTTTTTTTAAAGATTTTATTTATTTATTTGAGAGAGAGACAGTGAGAGAGAGCATGAGTGAGGAGAAGGTCAGAGAGAGAAGCAGACTCCCCGCGTAGCCGGGAGCCTGATGCGGGACTCGATCCCGGGACTCCAGGATCATGACCGGAGCCGAAGGCAGTCGTCCAACCAACTGAGCCACCCAGGCGTCCCTTGATCATTTTTTTTAAAGATTTTATTTATTTATTTGTCAGAGAGAGAGGGAGAGAGAGTGAGCACGGGCAGACAGAATGGCAGGCAGAGGCAGAGGGAGAAGCAGGCTCCCTGATGAGCAAGGAGCCCGATGTGGGACTCCACCCCAGGATGCTGGGATCATGACCTGAGCCGAAGGCAGCTGCCCAACCAACTGAGCCACCCAGGCGTCCCTTTCTTGATCATTTTATCTCTCACTTTTTATTTCCTCCCTAACCTAATACCATATGTGTCCAGCTCTGAATAAGATGCAGAGAATAGAAAAATATAAAAAGCAATGGTCCCTTCTTTTGGGAAACTTACATCCCAGTGGGAGAGACAGATGCATGCTCACTATGGTGCAAAAAGTACAAGGAGAGAATTATGCATGGAATGTTGAGAAAACTCACACAGGAGGGGCAACCATCTCAGATGACTGATGAGACTTGGCACATATCAAAGAAGCCTCCTAGAGCTGGTACCGGATAGATGGACAGAAACTGACCAAGTAGGACCTGGATAAGGAAGTGACAGCAGAGTAAGGAATGAATGATTTAGATATAGTAAGTAGAATCTTCAAGGCTTTGTGATTGAGTTCCTAATTGCTCTATTACTTTTTTGCCAGTAGAAGCTGTGCCCCCTTAATTAGACACTAAATCCTTTAAGAAAGAGACCATCTCCTCTCATGTCATGCATATCACCCTGTCAACTTGGCTGGGCACATGCATTAATAATTCTTGAGTTGCCTGAGCTTTTTCTGTTCTTGTGCCCTTTCTGGTTTGCATATACATG